CAGAGTTTCGTCTCCCCCCTCCCCCAGTTGTATTAAATAAAGAGAGTTTGTGTTAATGAAAATACGTGTATTTTTTGACATCAGGAAGGGGAGTTAGGGAGGGGTAAGTGGAAGGATGTGAGGGAGGAATGAGGCACAAGCCCCCAGTGGGGCAGTCCAGGGAGGCTCTTAGTGTTCCTCAGGGTGGAAGCTCTCCCGCAGGGCCTTCTGGATACTGACAGCCCCCTGATGGACGTCCTGGATGGCAGCCTGCAGAAAGTGCAGCCAGGCTTGCAGCAACACATCCACAAGAAGCACCAGAGTGCCCAGGGGCAGCTCTGGCTCCATGTTGCAGAGTGCTGTGGTGTCCTGAGTGAGGGCAGCCAGAACACGCAGAGACAAAATGCTTCACTGTCCCTCATCGAGATAGGCAAGCAAGGAGGGAAAGCTGAGAACCGGCTGTCCAGAGGGGGTCCCTTTAAGCACAGGTCTCAGATAGCCTCAAGCAGCAGCCACACAAAGTAACTCCTGACCTGATGCCCTGCTGGACCTGGTTCTGGCCGGCCTTAAATGTGATTCAGCGTCCACTCAATGTAAACGTGCTATTTCAAAATAGCAGAACGCTATTTCGAAATGCATTTTGTGTGTAGACGAGTTATTTTGAAATAACTTATTTTGAATTAACTATTTTGAAGTAAGATATTTTGAAATAACACTGTTGTGTAGACATACCTTAAGTGACTTGCCCTAAGACACATTGGAATACTATGGACTGAGTTTTGATCTGCCGAGTCCCAAGATAGCACCATTGGGCCATCCTTCCTTATTCATGGACTGTTCATGTACAGTATGTATTGATTCATGTGTTCTTTTTGTCAGTTCAAAGACAGAAGACTGATATTTGGGACTGCTCCATTCTTACCTGGCAATAATTATAAAGTCTTTCTAAAAAGGACTGATGGCTTTGGATGGAAGTTACTGTATTGCATGTAGTAAAACATCTCTAGAATCTCCTCTGCTGGTGCAAATGGCACCACGCCATCTTAGCAAAGCCCACTTTTCCCCAATGTGCGAGGGAGTCAGAGCTAGAGAAGCACAGACAGTGTTTTAATCACTGCTTGCTGTTCGTGGTTATGCTGAGGAAAGACAGGTTTAGGAACTCTATCCATAACCCCTCTAGCAGAGGCTACAGGCAGTGGATCCGTCAGCAGAGAGCAGCTACTGTGCCTTTCTGAAATCTGCTTTTAAGGACTTTCTTTGCCCTTTTATCAGAAAGAACAGTCACTTTAAATTATAAATATGATGAAATTGTACGCGAATATGCAGTGTTCGGGCAGGAGACAATTCATAGCTGTATTTACATTTCATGGGAACGTCTCTTTGTATGCAATCCCTAACCAGTTCGCAAAGACCATATCAGCTGTCCATCCATTCTTTGACTATTCCACCCCATCAGATTTTGCATGTATGAATAATCATAGCTGAAAGTAAAAGGCGCCATGTGCAAACAAAATCATACAAGAAAGCCAAGAATTGGAATGACATACGTGGAGATAACTCTTGGTTATGTAATCTATTACATTAAGTGTACTGATTGATGATCCTTTGTTCAGAACAACAAGATCATGTTAAGAATAGTCTATATAGAAGGCTACAGTTTAAAACACCTCCCACACAACTCTGATTATGTCACTCCCATTCTTTTGAGTTCTTTTACTGGCCTCCTGTCTGCTTCTGCATTAAGTAAAAACACTTCAGTGCTCTACACAACTGTGTATATGTCTCTTGCTTCCATTTCATTTTTAATTGGAGTGTAGACATACCCTAAGTGGACTCCCTTTTGTCTTTGAAATACCACTTTGCAACTCAGTACCTTCAGTTAACTTCTTTATTCCTACTAATTTCTATTCTTCTGCTCTCTACCCCTTCCTTCACTCTTGGTCAAAAATAGACAAGCAACAAAGACACAGCTTCAAAGGGTTTTGGATTAGGTCCAATAAAATCTTCTTACTTTGGAAAAAAATCCTCTAACATCTGACTCCTGTTCCTTTTGAAGTCAGTGACAAACTCCTAGTGACTTCAGTGGAAGTCAGATTGGGTTTAAAGGCTGTGCTCACTTTACCATACTTGCAGTTATCTTTTCTGTATATTCATTCACATCATGGTCTGTTGTGATCAGGTATTGTTAGATGATTAATTTACATCATAACTATTAAGGGTGGAGATCTTGTTTTCCTATAGAATACAGTGTATCTGTATTAGATCAGTCACATCTGTAGAGCTACCGATCCAATAAATACATCAATAAATAATGTTGGACTATTCTTTGATGTAAGCATTTTCAAAATATTTGCAGCATTTAGGCATCCATCAGTTTTGACTTTCAAAATCAAACTGCCACCTTGTGGTACAATCTGAGAGAGGTTGGTAGAAAATTAGATTTATACAGATTTGTGATTTTTAGCCTCTCCCAGTGGTTTCAGAGTTTCACCTTTTCTTTCCAAAATAAAAAGTCCAAGATACACCACTCCCTAATGGGATATAGAGTTTTATAATGATAAATCCAAAACATAGGGCCATTTCTAACAAAATTTCACTCATACAAATAAAAATTACATTGAATCAAACTGGATCACTCATAAAACTAACCGTTTATAGGATCAGGCATAAACACATACCATACTAATCCTAACTTTACACAGGTGAACCAACCCCTTGCAGGCCTGGATTGCACCCAGAACCTGAACTGTGACAGATATAAAGTCCAAATTTTCTAGTGGTTTTGTGTGCCTCAGTTCTTGAGACACTTGAATAGGGTTTGATTTTCAGAAAGTGCTAGGCTCTCAATTGAAACTAGCTTCCAGTGCCACCCTTACTCAAGATTATGCCCCACATTTTAAGGGAATTTAGGCATAGTTTTGCTCAGCTTTGCAATGCGCAAGTGGTTTGGGAATTTCTGAAAACAATATTTAGGCTCCTAAATCAGTTAGGCATTGCAACACTGAGTGCAGCAACACCTAAATACCTTTGAGAATTCAGGTCAGTGTCCAAGACACAATCAAACCCATGACAACATCCATAGCTTCATCCACTCATCAGCCAGTCTGGAACAGTGCAAAACAGGTCTCTTGGCATACTCTGTATTGCCCATTGTGTGGAAAATGTCATGGATTTACACTTACAATATCAAAATTAGCCACTTATCTTGAATGCTAATCTTAGGTTTGATTTTTAGAGCTGCTATACACCTGCAGCTCCCACTGAATATATCTGGATTGGTGGGTACCAGAGATCCTTGAATCGAAGCAGTGAGTGTTCAGCACCTATGAAAACCATGCCGAAAGTGTCTCAAATTTAGCAATCAAAGAGTACGTCACCCAAAATTAGTGGCTACATTTGAAACAGTGGCCCTGAACTTTGTGAATGGTAGACTGTACACTTCTAGGTCTTATGTGTGAAACTACAATGGGCAATGTTTTCCAATGCCATGCCATAAGGCTTTTGTACTGTATTTCTTTGAAAATGAAGGTTTAGCTGCCAAGGGCGGAGCTGGGCAGAAAATGGTAATGCTGTTTCACAGAGGATTTTGGAATCTGGTTTCATTCCAATTCAAAAAAAAAAAAAAGAAAAATGTTGAAATTCTACACAAAACACAGTTACAATTATTTTCATAGTGCTACGCAAGTCCTGGCACTGGGGAAGACCCGTTGGTAGGCTCCTCTGGATCTAGGTGGCCCAGGCTACTGAACAGCTGTGAGCCTAGCAGCTTGAGTTCTTAGATCTTCTGGGATCTTGGCTTCCCATCAGCCTGCCAGACAAACTGCCAAAAGCCTGGAGCCAGGACTGCCGAGGAGCTGTCTGGGGAACCCGGCAGGAAACCTGGCTGCTGTCCAGTGGAATTGTGTTGACGTCAACATGGTCCCATGAAACTTTAATTTTGACCCCAAAAAAGTCTTAATTGTTCCCATCCAGCTCAGGCAAAAGGGCTAATGTGGAAAGTGCTACGATGGGTTTCATTACTTGCAAGTGATAAGCCAGAGCAAACAAGTAGGCTGTGTCTAGACTACATGCCTCCGTCGACAGATAGCCACTGATCAGCTGTTTGTTGGCTCAGCGCGGCAGCCATGTAAATTTAAATGAAGCCGCGATTATTTTAATCGCGGCTTCATTTCCCTTATTCGAATACACAAATCTACATGCCTCCGTCGACAGAGGCAGGTAGTTTAGACGTACCCGTAGAGTCCTGGCTAGAACCTTGCTTATTATGAAGGCCTACAGGCCTACAGGCCTTGGACTTGGGTCTGTTGTTGGCTTTCATGTCCTGGTCACTGTCCCGTGTCTTGCTAATCACCAGTGGGCTTAGTGGCTAATGGAAACCTGGCTGTAGTGAAGGCCCTGCTCACAGTGTCCTGATTGGAGGAGTGCCCAGTCCCACCCTTTGATCTGACTATGCTTTTTAAACTGAAAGGAGGCACAGGAAGTTGTCTGTGCAACTGAGCAAATTCCTGGCTGGCTGCTACATTAGACCCTGCCTTCTTCTTGCCTAACTCCTGAGCTGTCCTGATTTATCCCTAGTTCCTTCTTTCTTGATACTTAGCTCAACGCCTGACTTTGACTCAGTCTTAATCCTTGGCTTAATTTCTGAAGCTGATTCCTTCTCTCATGACTAGGGATGATTACCCAAGTTCTGGTTGTGACGCTTACTGCTTTCCCTGAGAAATGATACCAGAGTTAAACACCTTTTAATTTAATTTTAATATATTTACATAGGAAAAAGCCTGACTAATTAAACTTAACTTATTCGGGCTCCCTGATGATACTTCTTCACATTGGTCTCATAACCACGGCTGTCTGTGCTTGCTTTGACAGAACTCAGATTATGGTGACATCCAAGATAGGTATTTCAATGTCTGAAATGCTCCTTAAATAGAACAAACAGATCAGTATGACTTAGCGATAAAATTACCTTCTGGTTTACAAGATCTCCAGCATGCTACTGCACTAGAGGGAACTGAAGGCACCCCTCCATACATAATATAAACAAATACAGTTGAGAATAAACACAAGTGAAAAATACACAGAAGGAGAGAGCATGGAAGAAAGAATTACTCGGGCTGCGACTGCCAAGATAGTGAAAAAAGCTTTTCTTGAAGCTCTAAAATCAAATGATTACAAAACACTGGAAGATCTTTTGATACAAAAACAAATAGATGTGGATACAGTGTTTGAAGTGGAAGATGAGAACCTGATTTTGGCATCATACAAACAAGGTAAAAGTAGAAACTGCTGCTGCTGCATTTGTAACCCTAAACAAACTGGTCTTAGTAACTTACTTTTGCAGTAGTAATTGTGTTTTATCCCTTCAAAATGTTACAACTTTAATTGATTAGGGAGATATAACCTACCTAACTAGTCAAAGGTAGCTCGGCCTTATGCTACTTAGAATAGCCTTTGATGACTCCTAATATATTTACAAGGAGATTAAAACTAATGGGTTAATACCACTCTGTGGCCATGTAAGTCACCAGGAGCTAAAAACACTGGTGTAATACCAATGAATTGTGCATCCTTTTTCAGAAGCTCCTTACATCTGGTCTGGTGGGTTAGGTTGAGATGGGGGACGCCTGC